TTGATAATCTTTTTCCCTCATCTTTTTTTTCCCCTAGTTTTTTTATCCTTATATATATATATATATATATATATATATATATATATATATATATATATATGCATTATTTGCAGCCTTTTTATTTTATCATTTTTATATATATTCATCTTTTTTATATTATCTTTTCATAATAGCTTATCTTTTTATCTTTTTTCCTTCCTTTCCTTTTGGTTGTGATATCATGTATCGATTCATGTTAGCCGACCCCAATATCTTTTGGGACTAAGATATTGGGACACGTACTGCTAATCTGCTATTGCTCCTATGACACGACCACTACTCCTCCGGCACTAATTTACTCCTTACTTTATACAACACCTCTTAAAAGATATACGTACAACTCTTTTGCTCTAACATATGTGGTAAGCAATAATTACTCAATTCTTTTATTAAATGTACGAAGTTCAAAACAATTAGAAAAGAAATAAAAATCTAAAAAAAATTAAAAAAAAAATACTCAAAGAAAGAACAAACGCTTAACATAAATTTTGAAGTTTAAGATTCAAACTAAACTTTAAAAATAAAAAAGGAATCTAAATATTATAAATAAATAACAAAAAAACATAAGAAATTTTAATAAATCTATAAGTGAAAAATTCAAAAAGGTCATATAAAATCAGACAAAATGAAAACAAAATATAAATTCGTAAAATAAAAAACAGTAAATATAAAACGTGTAAAAACAACAACTTAGAAATAAAAATGTGAAAAATGAAAAAAAATGTAAAAAAATTATACCTGAAAATTTTGAAAAATGTGAAAAGAAAATGATATTTGTAACTCAATACTTTTAAAATGGTTACAAAATCTAATAATTGTTATTACCATTTTGATGTTAGTTTTTGTCTCTTATTGCTTCTTTGTGTTTATTTTTGTTTATAATTTTGATTTCTTTTTTGTTTTTTATTGTTTTTTCAGGCTTCTTGTTATAGTTGGTACTTGGTATTCATAAATTCATATTTATTATTTTAGGTGATTGTATATAAATCTATGTATTACTTTTTATTGCAAAGAAGCATCAAAGGTGAGTAGAAATATAAATAAATAATAAATATTGAAATCGGTTATAAATAACACTCAGCGACACGGTGCAACAAAAAGCAACATGTTGCAACAAAAAACAACAAATATCATTCAAAATGAAACAAAAAGCAACACATACCATAGTAACCATACAACAAAATGAAACACGATACAACAAAATGAAACATGATGCAACAAAAAGAAACAAAAAGCAACAAATATCATACAAAATGAAACAAAAAGCAACACATACCATACAACAAAATGAAACATGATACAACAAAATGAAACATGATGCAACAAAAAGAAACAAAAAGCAACAAAAACATCATATAGAAGTATCACTATCAAGTATAAATATACAACTCAGTCTATTATGTAATGTATTGCATTTATCTATTATATTATTTGACTTTGCATCTTGTCATTCTTTCTTCTTTTGAGGCATCTTGGAACGCAATTCTGCATACTTGACACTTTTATCATAGTATTGTCGTTGATCTTCTGAACCATATTATAATCTTCATGAACTTCCTTTTCTTATACGTGCCTGCAATGAGATCACAACCACTGTGACAAAAATGCGTCAACAAAAGCAATGTTTCAACAAAGTAGCAAGTCTCATCTTTATGTCCCCTTCAGGCACATCTACCACAAATGATTCAATAACAAGTGTTCCGGGTCTTCCATTAGTCACTTCAGTGCAGTTACAAAAGGAGAAATTTGAAAAAGCGAGGAAGGGATACTAAGAAAATGTTGCCTTCAACCAAAGAAGATGAAGAGGGTCATAGCGGAAACCCCAAAGAAATTAGGAGACTTAATTGACTTAATTGGCTCTTCATGAAGTTTACAATTCTCTCTGCCAGGTCATGATGGCAGTGAACACACATTTTAAGCCATACAGCAGAGGATATTTAAAGGCATCAAAAACTTTTACACTAGGCAGCTAATTCCCAAAAGAAATTGGGTACATATACTTGAACCACTTTTATCATTTTCTTCTTCTTCTTCTTATTATTATTATTATTATTTGAAGGAATTATTCTATAATTTGGCATACAAAATGTAAGATCAAGACCAAACGAATAAGAACTCGATATGAAACAAAAGTCTAATATCATTACTTAAAAATTTTTTAAAGTTAAGAGGAAACCACAATTCACAGTCTTGTGAACGCTTCTCTCTACCACCTGCATAACCAGTAGGGATCACCATTAAAAAATTGAACCTCACTGTCTTGGATAATGGCATCTGATACTTGTTCACAAAGTGAAGGTAGTTGTGATGAACAATGATTGTGTTGTTCATCTTAGCACTATGGCAAGTACATGCAAGTATATGACCTCTAATAAAAACATGCCATTGAAGGGACATTTATTGTCAATGTATGTACCTTCGATTGTGAGGAGTTTTAAAACCCAAACTGATGCTCTTCCAGTATGTCCCTTCAATCGAAGGTACATACATTGACAATAAATGTCCCTTCAATGGCATGTTTTTATTAGAGGTCATATACTTGCATGTACTTGCCATAGTGCTAAGATGAACAACACAATCATTGTTCATCACAACTACCTTCACTTTGTGAACAAGTATCAGATGCCATTATCCAAGACAGTGAGGTTCAATTTTTTAATGGTGATCCCTACTGGTTATGCAGGTGGTAGAGAGAAGCGTTCACAAGACTGTGAATTGTGGTTTCCTCTTAACTTTAAAATTTTTTTAAGTAATGATATTAGACTTTTGTTTCATATCGAGTTCTTATTCGTTTGGTCTTGATCTTACATTTTGTATGCCAAATTATAGAATAATTCCTTCAAATAATAATAATAATAATAAGAAGAAGAAGAAGAAGAAAATGATAAAAGTGGTTCAAGTATATGTACCCAATTTCTTTTGGGAATTAGCTGCCTAGTGTAAAAGTTTTTGATGCCTTTAAATATCCTCTGCTGTATGGCTTAAAATGTGTGTTCACTGCCATCATGACCTGGCAGAGAGAATTGTAAACTTCATGAAGAGCCAATTAAGTCAATTAAGTCTCCTAATTTCTTTGGGGTTTCCGCTATGACCCTCTTCATCTTCTTTGGTTGAAGGCAACATTTTCTTAGTATCCCTTCCTCGCTTTTTCAAATTTCTCCTTTTGTAACTGCACTGAAGTGACTAATGGAAGACCCGGAACACTTGTTATTGAATCATTTGTGGTAGATGTGCCTGAAGGGGACATAAAGATGAGACTTGCTACTTTGTTGAAACATTGCTTTTGTTGACGCATTTTTGTCATAGTGGTTGTGATCTCATTGCAGGCACGTATAAGAAAAGGAAGTTCATGAAGATTATAATATGGTTCAGAAGATCAACGACAATACTATGATAAAAGAGTCAAGTATGCAGAATTGCGTTCCAAGATGCCTCAAAAGAAGAAAGAATGACAAGATGCAAAGTCAAATAATATAATAGATAAATGCAATACATTACATAATAGACCGAGTTGTATATTTATACTTGATAGTGATACTTCTATATGATGCTTTTGTTGCTTTTTGTTTCTTTTTGTTGCATCATGTTTCATTTTGTTGTATCATGTTTCATTTTGTTGTATGGTATGTGTTGCTTTTTGTTTCATTTTGTATGATATTTGTTGCTTTTTGTTTCTTTTTGTTGCATCATGTTTCATTTTGTTGTATCGTGTTTCATTTTGTTGTATGGTTACTATGGTATGTGTTGCTTTTTGTTTCATTTTGTATGATATTTGTTGTTTTTTGTTGCAACATGTTGCTTTTTGTTGCACCGTGTTGCTGAGTGTTATTTATAACCGATTTCAATATTTATTATTTATTTATATTTCTACTCACCTTTGATGCTTCTTTGCAATAAAAAGTAATACATAGATTTATATACAATCACCTAAAATAATAAATATGAATTTATGAATACCAAGTACCAACTATAACAAGAAGCCTGAAAAAACAATAAAAAACAAAAAAGAAATCAAAATTATAAACAAAAATAAACACAAAGAAGCAATAAGAGACAAAAACTAACATCAAAATGGTAATAACAATTATTAGATTTTGTAACCATTTTAAAAGTATTGAGTTACAAATATCATTTTCTTTTCACATTTTTCAAAATTTTCAGGTATAATTTTTTTACATTTTTTTTCATTTTTCACATTTTTATTTCTAAGTTGTTGTTTTTACACGTTTTATATTTACTGTTTTTTATTTTACGAATTTATATTTTGTTTTCATTTTGTCTGATTTTATATGACCTTTTTGAATTTTTCACTTATAGATTTATTAAAATTTCTTATGTTTTTTTGTTATTTATTTATAATATTTAGATTCCTTTTTTATTTTTAAAGTTTAGTTTGAATCTTAAACTTCAAAATTTATGTTAAGCGTTTGTTCTTTCTTTGAGTATTTTTTTTTTAATTTTTTTTAGATTTTTATTTCTTTTCTAATTGTTTTGAACTTCGTACATTTAATAAAAGAATTGAGTAATTATTGCTTACCACATATGTTAGAGCAAAAGAGTTGTACGTATATCTTTTAAGAGGTGTTGTATAAAGTAAGGAGTAAATTAGTGCCGGAGGAGTAGTGGTCGTGTCATAGGAGCAATAGCAGATTAGCATACGTGGTCTATTTGTGAAAGAAAGAGTTTAGTTATGCTATATTTGAAAATACTTTGAAAAATGGAAAAAACTGATATTATTTCCCTAAAATTTCCCTAAAATCCATATAACCCGTATCAGGTTAGAATGGATTAGATTACAATATTACATCCAACTCTTCATCTGTTTCATGATTTGCTCCGCTCATCCACCCGTGTGTAAATGTATACATAAAAATGTTTGTATGGTTGTATATAATTTCTTTATATATTTAATTATTAATAAAAAATTAAATTATACAAAGGTTGTAAACTTTAATACAAGTACTTCTAAAGATATTCTGATATTCCAAGAATATATTCTAACGATAGAGTATTGTTCATAAACTGTGTGCATAATCATCCTCAACAACACTCGATATGCAATAGAATGAAATGTACAAGAAAATTGCATTAATAACTTGTACACTAGTGTACACCCAAAAGCTCTAAAAGGAAAAAATGCAAAATCTAAGCAGGAACATTACATTTCCCCATGCGAAAAGGGAAAAAAGGTTTATACAACATATATACGGCTTTCAACCAACTGCGCAGAGTGACCACCAACCATTGAAATGACTGAAAAATGGTTTTTTTACCAGTGATGAATTGAATCAGTGAGAAACCAAACATCCAGTCCATGTGCAAAATTATTTGCATCTTTCATATATAACCAAATGATCAGTCATCTTCCTTCATGCAGGTCTTCAGAAAATACAGCTGTATGAGATACGTCCACTTCAAAAGCACTCAAGCCAGAGTAAGGCCCAGAAGAGAACATTGATGATGTACCATCAGATTCAAAGGTTGTGGAAGATTGCTTAAGGTTGGGCCGAGGGTTGGAGGTGGGGTTCACGGCAGAATCCTGCTGATACTCTATGTGTTGCACCATCTTTAAGGATTGTACAACCTCCCCCATTGTGGGCCGTTGGTTTGCCTCTGGAGCAACACAAGCTGCAGCTATTGTGCAAACCCTCACAAAATCTTCCTTTGGGTACTTTCCATCAAGCCGTACATCAACAAGTTCTTCCAGTCTATCTTTATCTCTTAGTATAGGCCTGGCCTGAAACAAATCACTCTCAAGTATGATCACCACATAGATATGCATATATACCTTTTCCAGAAAAATAACTTGTTTTTCGTGGAAACTAAGTTGTTCTATGTCATACGAACTAATTGTACAATATAATATATGATGCCCAGAATAGAGTGCATAAAATGTTAGTGCAAAATAACTTCCCATTAAACTTTATGCTAACTACAATACATATGCTTGGATCCTGCAAAAAGCCTAGGGAAAAGTGACAAAATGACAGCACATATATATTTTGTAAACAAACAGGGCCTAAATATAGCTATTTAACTATCATAGCACAACCAAAACAAGACAAAAGCAAATGACAACCTCTGCCAAACTCTACAGTTCAAACTTCAAAGCATACTCAAGTAACAAGATTCTCATGTCCTAGAGAAAAGAGATAAAAGGCTAAGGAGAGTCACTTTCTTATGTTTGACGATCTTCAAAAATGCAAAAAAAAAAAAGATTAAAATTTATTAGGTGTTAAAATTTTGTAACATATTGAGATTTATTAGTCTCTACATAGTGATATAAATAAATAAAACAAATATCCACAAAATACTAAATAAAAATGAGAGGAAACACAGGAAAACCTTTCATGGAATTCTTGCTAAAAATGGGGAATTAAAAAAATATTTACGCGAAAATATAATTTCTGTAAACGAACAGAGCCCAGATACAACTATCATAGCACACACAAAAAAGTAAATGATAGCCTTTGCCAAACTCTACGGTTCAAAGCATACCCAAGTAACAAGATTCTCCTGTCCTGATGGCTGTGACATATCCACAGGTTTCCTTCCCGTCAATAACTCGAGAAGGACAACCCCATAGCTGTAGACATCACTTTTTACCAGTAGGTGTCCAGTCATAGCATATTCAGGGGCTACATACCTGCAGAACTTTCCTCTAGTCATTGCTTCCCTACCATGTGGAGGCATTTTACTCAATAATATAAAGTTACAAGGGAAACTAACCCAAATGTGCCCATAACGCGGGTAGACAGGTAATTTAACCGGCCTTCAGGGGCTTGTTTAGCAAGCCCAAAGTCAGCTACTTTTGCATGGAAATTATTCTCGAGCAAAATGTTAGATGCCTTAAAATCCCTATGGATAACACAAGGCTGGGAGTCCTCATGCAGATAAGCAAGTCCCCTTGCAGCATCAAGTGCAATCTTCATTCTGGTGTTCCATTCTAGAGGGCAATCTGCCCCCAACTGGCCTGCATAAAACCAGTACGGTTGTCAAATGGATCGACTACATCATTTTTGTAGCCTTTGTTTCACTAGGAACTACATAGAGAAGAGAGAGGGTGAGAAAGAGACAAATATGGTAGATTTTTTGCATTGTTTGGTGGGAGAGAAATGGAGAATACATGCGTAGAAATTGAGAAGGGGTGCCTCTATCTCCCAGTCAGGCCTTTTTCTTTCCCCACAATTTTTCCTCTCCTGTCTCGCCTAACAAAACAAAGGCTTAAAGAGCTACAGCGCTACATATATGACTTGCAATATACACCCTCATTTATCCTCCCTTAGAGAGACTCACATAAAATTACATACAATAAATCCACTGAGTTAAAGTCTTAATGATTAGAATGTAGCACGCAAGAAAACTTGCCATGAAGCCAGGCCTCCAGACTTCCATTAGGGACGAGCTCATAACACAGTAGGTTCTGTGAAGAATCAATACTGCTATAGTAGCCAACAAGCTTCACAAGATTTCGGTGGTGCAGTCTACTAAGCATTTCTACCTCCACTAGAAATTCTTTATCTCCTTGCTGTCCTCCAGTACTAAGCCTTTTGATGGCCACAGCAGTACCATCACTTAATACACCCTTGAACACCTTTCCAAAACCACCCTCTCCGAGAACACTAGATGGAGCAAAATTAGCTGTTGCTTCTTTCAGTTCCTCATATGCAAGAAATCGTGTGCTTGTAGGATGTGTAAAAGACCTTACAGTTTCAACTGAACCCACACTCCTAGGCTTCACTGTCATAAAAGAGAGCAACAAGTAAAGGAAAAAAATAATACCAAAAATAATAAGTTAGTAAACTAAACTATTAAAAAGAAAGAAATGTATTATGTCATCGGTTTATAAATTCAAAAGGAGAAGATAAATCCATCATGGAACCTCTGATACAGCACATTTTTTCTAAGCTAAAAAATTTGGTTAATGTAAGATCCAAAATCACATACTCCATGACAGCATGCTGGAGTACACAGTTAAAAATTTTAAATTTGAGAACACTATTACACTTTGATCATTATCTTAACAGTTTCTGATGCGGAACAAGCTCTAGCAAAAAATGTGATAGTAGCAAGCTTCGGTCACTGTTACAAAGGAAGAGGATAAAAGGAACAGCTATTTTTAAAGGAAACAAAAAAATCATACCAGTCTCTTTGGGCAACCTTTTCTTCTTTCCACGCTTATAAGCACAGGCATAAAGTATGAGCATGCAGATAATCACAACAATTACCATACAGGCAACCATTCCAATAATTAGAATCAAGTTTGAGTGGTGCCCCTTATCCGCAGGGGATACTGAGGCATGAGAAGAGGGTCGTCTAGGATCTACTGCCATCGGTGACACAGCGGCTAGAGGGGCTGCATTTCAAATAGAAGTTAACAAAAAATAGGTAAAACTGAAAAGTTTCACATAAGTGTCCAAACTAGAGCATGTACTGTCTGTTCTCGATGTTATGTCGATCGAAAGTAATGCAAGATGGCAAGCATAAACAATTACCTTGAGACGCTGCTGGAACCTTAAACCAGGTCATATTGAGAAGCCGGTAAGCACCTACTAATGTAGGGTTTAAAAGGACCTTATGCAACGAAGAGTTTATTCTAGTGGCTTCGGTTGCAGAAAAACTAATTCCCTTGTATGGTGTGATGTCCATTGAGATATTAAGGTTAAATAAATCAATAACATAAAAATTGATTAGTTCAATTTGAGAGGTCTTCAAGCCCAAATGGTTAGCAAATTCATCTAGAAAGAGAGTCCAGTCTGGGTTAGATGACACATTCACAAGGAGAAGATCAAGCTTTATTGGATACACACAGTGGCAAGACAGGCTTCCTCTCTTGAGCACCATGTCTGGTCCACAGCAGTCTGCAAACATGAAGAATGGAAAACCAAATAGTTATGCAACTTTACCTTTTCTTTTTTCTTTTAAATCTGAACCGTTTGCTTGTGGGGGGGTATATTTAGTTTTAATTACAGTGCAATGCAAGGCTTTCAATAAATCGAGCAAGAAATCCTAAAACTTAAGAGAGGATTTATATTAAACATCAGAAACAATGGAAATAAAAATGCAAATTATTGTACCGAGTAAAGTTGGGTGAAAATGTTAGTACAATTCTTACCGGATGTTTGAGGTGAAATTGGTGGCTGGGCCAAAGGTAAACTACTAGCTCTGGATTGTGTCGGGGAAACCTGTTGAAACTTTGGAGGTAGAAGTGCTGCAGTTGGAGGAACTAATCGACTCTTCTTCAGCGACGGTTTGGACAACAAGGAACTTGAAGGGGGGTTTGATCTTCCTTCAAACAAGGGAGCAGAATGAGGATACTGAGGTGAAGCCACCGGCATTCTGACTGTGGCTAGAGCATCTGCTGGCTTACCCAGTAGATTGATGATCAGCAACACATAAAATAGCACAAGAAAATGTTTCAGAACTAACCAATTGACATTCTTTAACACACCTGAAGTTCAGTTGCAAGCGATGTCAAATATATGAAAGCCTGAGTAATCCCATGAAAGCAAATACTACCTCCGCCACAAAAGAAAAAGTCATGTTTCAAAAGCTTTCATTGTCCAAAGAAAAGAGTCCTATTTGAATGAAAGGAGCCAACTTATCTTTATATTTGATATTATTCGATTTTCAAAACAAAGTGTGTGAAACATAGTTAAACCAATAAATCAATTCAAAAATATATCTAGATGTGTTGACTTGCGATAGTTATATCATGCTATAATTAAAAGATGTACAATTGTACCATAGGGTCCATAGTGAAATAAGACTTGTAGGGGTCGGATATCATTCCCTTCTGTAAATGCTATTTCAGCTTTTGATGTTCAATTCATGAGGAACAACATTCAACTCACTTGGATTTCCCAGCCCTTATTCACACTCTACCCGCAAAATGAAAGCAAGGACATAACAGTAAATAATAATAACTCTAGTAAATTAAACAATTCGCAAACACTGAATTATGGTTGCTTCTCTATTTTCATGTAATAAACTATTTTGGCAATCAATTTATTCCCTAGCGTCAGAAAGTAACTCTAGTTCCTGGGCATATAGAAAAACACTTTTCTAGACACATAATTGCTCAAAGACACTAGATCTTAAAGGTTAAAACAAGTGAGTTGTTTACTTGGGCATTCTAGTTCCTGTGTACTTGGGATGTTATATGGAGCCTATGGGGTTCTTCCTCTAAGCTGTATTTTTTAAATCATTAATATACTACACAGTGTGCTTATCAATTTGGATTTTAAAAAATTATAAATTGCAATTTGATGAGGCAGAGCAATTGATACATTCAAACACTTGCTTATAAAAAATGAGACATCATAAGAGAAATATTCGAGGGGCATTTGTTGAGGCACAGAAAAAGAAAAGTAAAATAGATAGTAAGATTTACTATTTAATAAACTAAAACATAAAAATTCAACAGTTCCCATTATGGCCACATACAAGAACTTCACCAAGAAACTGAAATAGTTGAACCCAAGGCTTTGTTTCATTTGAGATGGACTTAAGTAAATTTGATGCATCTAGGGTGGAATTGATATGAGTAAAAACTTGGTGAGAAAGATAATGCTGAAGCACGAGAAACCAAAGTGCGCAGAAAGATAGAATTGATGTATTTAAGGTATGTGGAATTTAAGTCATAATTTTACGACCCAATATTAAAATTGATTTGTACTTCGTATAATGTAAACTATTTTACTATTCACTGGAGCAGTTTAAATCCTCAATTCTACTTTTACTACTCCCTCCGTCCCGCAAAGAAGTTGTCACTTTGACTTGCACATATATTTATGTAAGATAAAGTTTGTTATGGCATTCTATATATACCCTTACTTTATGTCAAATCAAGCAAAAAAGTCAGTAAAAAGTAGACATTTCCTACTAAAAACTTTATTTTTAAAGAAATGGAAACTTCATTTTGGCACATCCAGAACAAGAAAGTGAGAACTTTTCAGGACTGAGGTAATATATTCACTAGTAGAGAGAATTGAAGAAAGAATAAGAAAACAAGATAGAGATAGAATCCTATCATATCACTCGAAGAGATCTTGCTTCTATAAACAAGGAACAAAAACTTGCATTATTAGTACATTGAAAAACTGAAGTGAGAATTGAATACACTGTTAGGCCATTGAATTTATTATACACTCTTTGCACTACACTCTTGAGATTATTCTACATTCCATTCAAGATATTCACATTTTCAGTAAAACTGAAACATACATATATGATATGATGCTCGCCCATTTCATTATATTAGATAAACTGAGAAATAAATAAATACGAGCATGCAAAAAAGGCTATATGTGCTGCTGATTCGAAAGTTCTTGAAATTAGGGCTTAAGATGGGTTCTTTTAATGCTTCCATAATGAGATGATACCGAAATTAAACATGACAAATCATAAGTTAAATCCGCGCATTCCAAAAATCACCACTGTATAAACCCTAAAAACAGGTTTTAAACAATTGAGAAGCAAGATTTAGATGAGGCATGAAGAAAAAAAACGTACTTTGAAGTTTCTTGCCCGTGTACCTGCATTATTCGGAGAGTTCGAATCACGAAATTAAGATCAGAACTCTTAAATCTTAATAACGGAATATAAATATCAGAAAATTGAATGAAACGGAAGGAGGAGAAAAATCGGCTCACTTTTTGAGATCTGGAAGTTGACCCAGCCTACTCATGGCGGCTGCGGTTCTGGTTTGGACTAACAAAACTCAGAGGAAGAATGAAGACGGTTATGCTTTCCTCCAGCTCTTCCAGCTTCGCGCAACTGCATAGTTTCAAAGGAGACGAAAAGGCTTGCGCCGGAGTCTTCTTTTTTTCTTAATAATTTTTTGAAAACAACTACAGGAAGAATATCACACAGTTCACACACTTTTAAATAGACAAAAATTAAAGGGAAAACTAAATAGAGAACATAGTGAAAGCAGCAATTCACACCTGGTACAAAAAAACTCGATTAAGCACCTATATGGCTATATTTGAAGAAAAAAATAGGAATTTTATCAATTCAGGACTCGAAAAATAGGAATTATCAATTTGAGACCTGAAAAATGAGATCTATCGGCATAGGACTCGAATGATGAAAAACTATCAATCTAGGATCTAAAATTTAATAGGTTTTGATTTAGTTAATTTTTTATTAATTCCATTACTAATTTTTGATAAACTTTTATTCACAAAAGTTTATTAAATTGATAGTTTTCCATCTTTCGAGCCCTATATCGATACATTTCATCTTTCAGGTCCCGGATTGATAATTCATCTAACTTTCGGGTCCTGAATTGATAAATTCCAAAAAACAAGCAATTCTTCATTTTACTCCATCATCATTTGATTTTCCGGTAATTACCTTGTCAAAATAAAAAAGTTTAGTGTAGATTATACTACCTCCGTCCCGGTAGACTTTGTCAAGTTCAAAGTATGTGAGAATTAAGAATGGTAAAAACTGTGTGATTGAGATTTGTGCAGATGAGAGAGAAATGTGCAGAACCACAAATTAGTTGCTTTAATAGGAAAATGTTAAAGTTTTTTGGGACAACAAAAAAGGAAAATTGTCAAAGTCCAACGAGAAAGAGGGAGTATATAATTATTCCAAATTTGTTTTATCACCTTCTCTCTCCTTCATTCTTCTCTCCTTCTCTGCATCCCTCTTTTTTCTTTCCTCCATCTTTAATCACCTCCTCTTCATCATCTCCTTATCCAACATCTTTTATCCTTATCATTTCCATTTTTATTCATTCTCTTTCTTCATTAGCTTTAGCATTCACCATGTCATGTTGTGTCATCATTTATATCACCTACTTCATTATAATGGCAATTGTAGTAAGTGTCACCGAAAAATAGCCGGATATAAAATCACCGGAAATGATATAATATGTCTGTATGAATAATGACACTTAAAAACTAACTACACTTTGTAAAATATCGTCACACAAAAAAGTGTATGTATATAGACGCAGATTTCTTTCACTGTTTGTATACACAGACAAAAAATGTTGCATAACAGTTAAAAGTATGTTATACAAACATTTTTGTCTGTGTTTGTACAAACACTTGTGTTTGTACAAACAACTAATGGCAAGGTTAAGTTGTCTGTGTATACAAACAAAAATGTTACACATAGACAAAAATGTACGGATGCAAACAATATTTAATTCTCTATCTACAGACATTGGTTTGCATATGAATCATATTGATTGGCTTACTTTTTTCCAAATATGCCAAGGTGGTTGGACGAAAAACAATGTCAGTGTATACAGACAAATATTAGTTGTATGTATACAAACAAAAAAACTATTTAGTTAACATTGAATATTTATTTACTACTCTACATGTGTGTGGTCTTGCTTTCATGTATAAATCCAATGGAAGCAAGAGCCTGCAAATCTGAAAACTTACATGATAGGATTTTAGGAAAAAGCTTAACTTCAATAATGAAAATGGATAATTCCAAAACTTTAAATGTTACAAGTATTTGTAAATCCATGGACGGGTAATGAAATTGGAGTATGATCTTTTACATGTTTGGATATGGGGTGTTCGGATTTGATTCTTAAAACTGCTTCTGCTTCTTCAGAGAGCAGAAGTAGAAGTTGGAGTGTTTGGGTAAAAGTGCAGAAGTGATTCTGGTGCTCTAATTTACTCTTAGAATCAGTTTTTTAGAAGCTGAGGGTGACCAGCTTCTGAAAACTGATTCTGCTTCTGCTTTAAAAAAGAAGCAGAATCAGTTCCAAAAGTCATGTTAGAAATATGTTTTTGATATTTCTTATAAATTGATGTTATAAATCGCATTGCAATATCTGACCAAAAGTCCCACACATGCCATCAACTTCACATTCTGCCAAAAAAAGTTCACATGCAACCTCATACTTTGTCTGTTTGTACACACAGAATTGTTGGGCTCCCTGTTTCACTTATCTTATAGTAGTATCTATCTATCTATCCGGCCTTCTCCTTGTTAGTTGTTACAGCTTAGCTCCATCTCTTCTGATTTGATTTGATTTTCTGCAATGGCTGCTGCTGCTGCTGCTTTCATCTTTGTCTGCTCCTTCTTCAACTTCTTTGCTTCATCATCTCCTATGCCTCTCCATGGCGCCCACAGGACTGATCCTCAGATCACTGTCATGGGGATGGTTTACTGTGATATCTGCTCTAACAATTCCTTCTCCCCGCACAGCTACTTCATCCCAGGTATCACCCCCCATTATCCATGTTCTCTTTCTTTTTTTTCTTTCTTGTCTGCTTGTCCTACTAATATGAACAATTTCATACTTAAACCCAAACAAATCATCCGCCCATAATTCTTCTTTTCTTTTTTCGTTGTCCCAAGATTTTCTTCTTTTTATTTCCTTTCTTCTAGGCTTATATGTGTGTGTGTTTTGTATCAAATAAAATCACCTTTTCCCATGAAAATTAGAATCAATCTTGTGTACTTGGGATGATTTTGCTTTTTGAAATTTTCTAGTCTGTTAAATGTATGTTCTCTATGTTTAAGTCTGACATGGTCTGATCATGTGTCTCTTGTGTCGAGTTTATATGTATTTTACAACTGTCGGATGTGATTTAATTTGATTAAGTCTAGTCTGATCTAGTCTGTTCCGATTTTAAACCGAAACTAGTTCATGTAAAAATATCCTAATTTCTTTGTTACCTCGATTAGAAGACCTATTACCCCGTTTACCTCGAGTATAACATCGGCAGTCTGACAACTTATAAAATCAAAAGTCCCAAATTATAAAATCTTTGTTCCAAAAAAGGTGGAATCTCCCACCCCAGGAGCCCCCCCACCCCGACCCGACAGGATGGTGGGGAGGTTAGTCACGGTGACTCAGTCAACAGAATGGCAGTAGGCCCATACACCCGTGCGCACCAGAGGCCCAGCCTTATTTCAGGTTCTGTGACCTCCACCCGGTCGCTGCGGGGATTCGAACCTTGGTCCATTGTTCCAAATCTCCCACCACTCGACCAACTGAGCTACCCGTGCGGGTCCAAATTATAAAATCTTAAAGTCACACATCACATACTACCTTACCAATGTGTTGTGAATAATAGTCGTTTTTACTGACCTAAGTGATTTAAAATGGTAAATAACTTAAGTAAAATCAAGAAATAAATTAGGTAAGTAAATTAGCAAATCAGTAAACTAACCAAAGACTATTAAAATAAATTTAAAATCCAGAAATTAACCAACCAAATCAAGAAATGAAATACGAAGTAATTGAGTAAACAAGACACACAGTAACACAAATTTAATTGCTAAAAGCCTAAAGTAAATTAACAATTCAGTACAATTGAAATTATACTATGAATTTGCTGGTTTTATTGTTGGAATAAAAAAAATAACTCTGCTCTCTGCGTGAGTGGCGTGGCTGAAATGCTGAAACGAGCAGGCCGCAAGGGAGAAACAATTTAGGTCTTATAATAATCCCAACAATCGATTATCTATGAATAATCTCAACTTTACTGACCTTCCGCCAATAATGGTCCATGACCAGATATGACCTGCTATAACAAGTGAATTTTAAATAGAAATAAAGCGTAAAAATTGAAAGTTGAATTATTTATAAGGATTACTAGTTATATCTCTTCCCATCCAGTTTAGAAATTATAGGAATTTACTTATAGTCGGTCATGTCAGACCATTATTGATGGAAGGTCACTAAAGTTGAGATTATTCTGAGATAATCAATAATCGGGATTATTATAAGCGGACCACCAATAATTGGGATTATTACAATCAATTTTTCCTAATAATAATGCCTAAATATTGACTCTTATCAAATTCCTCTCTTAAGCTTTAGAGCCCAATTAGCAAATTAGGTCTGCTCGTTTGGACGCAAATAAGGGTCCTGTGACGCCGTTCTTAATTTTAGTACTCCATATCATTTAACCAAACAATGTCGTTTGGATTAAGTCAAAAAATAAGGGGGTTGCTTTGCGCACCCCCATATTTACTTTACGTAACCTATGCATGACGGTTTTGACCTTTTTGGTTATTAAATTAAAATTAAGTTAAAAACTAAATAATACTTGGAGTTTCGTAGGATCAGAAGGGATGTCCTTAACAATTTTGCAATATGTGGAGTTCTATTGAGTTTTACTCACCATCCAACAACTTGCTGCTATGTGGCAAAAAATTCATTTTTTATTATATGTTATAACTTTTTTATTTTTGCTCCTCTTTTTATAAAAATTATATCAAATTAAATATTTTTTTATGATATATCATATGACATCAATATAATATATATATAAATTTAAAAAAACAATTGGCCAGGTCTGGTGAATAGCCGATAAATGTGTATTCACTACGTAGTATTATTAAAATCTAATTTAGTCCGATCTGATCTAATTTGTTTGAAATATGTTTGGATCAAAATCAGTTCAATTAGAAATATTCTAAATATCATTCACATCCTAAATCTAGTCATGTAACATATATGGTCGTAATGTGGAATCAGCATGGTGCCGATTGAGTTTGATCTGGGATCGAAAACATGAGAAAAATCCAAATTTACGGGGTTCGATATTTGTGTCAATCAGTTTTTCGTGCAATCCAACAATTGTTAATATATTTACGATATAAACTAGATTACAAATAAAATAGTTATAGCAATTTCATATAATTTTTGTAAAAACTAGATTACAAATAAAATAGTTATAGCAATTTCAAGATTAAAAATAATAACAAGGCTATACTACTCTAAATATTGACAAACTTCATGAAACACATCAAAAAGAAGAAATGGGATACAGATAATGAGGCAGATGAATATCTCATAAGTCTGAAAATCAAGAGTACTATTTTTTAGATAATTTTCAGATTCATTCTCCATTGTATATTTGTATAAGAAGATTGTAAAAAAATTATGAGAGTATTAATAATGGGTTCCAACTATTTATATAGTAGTTGTTTGATGTTAAATTTGAGTATATTTCAAAATAGTTACGTTATTTTTTAGAAACATGTTACACAAAATTTTATAGGAAATATAAAACTTATTTTTATTTTAATGAAACAATAAGGCCCATTAAAAAAATTACTCCGTAATATGGATGATAGTGAATTTAATAGGGAAAAGTATGTGGGTGTGCCTAGCAACCTAATTAGGCATGTTTCCTTATCGACGTGGGTAAGGATACACTTGTCCAACTTTGACAAAATATTGGTGCCCATAGCAATTTTGGCGGTGCGCCCAGCAGACCCGAAAAATAATCAGCCGGAAATGATAGAGGCACGGAGCATCCCAGCAGGACAAAATCACGAAACAGTAGAGGAAATGGGAGAGGAAGGTCGAAAACGACCCAGGGCGCCACAAGATTTACACCTATATATTCCTTAAACACTCCGGCGGGCGGCGGCGGCACCGTCTCGCCCGCCCCTGGTTCCGCCCCTAGTAGGAAAGAGTATTGACATCATATAGTTGTACTGCCATATTATAACATCATAGGCATAAATGTGATAGTATTCGGCCATTATATTGCACTATAGTTTCACAGTAATTATTTCGGTTTGTTGTATGAAATGATCGGATAAACCTGCAAAAATGCGTTAGAAAATAATATAGCTCGAGTCGCGTATACGCTGTCCTCGAGAAAGTATTTCCGACTAGCGAAAACCTTTCCCCAAGATAAAACGAGCTCTTCGGCGTAAGCCGGTAACAGAACAACGAGAGTATAAAATATTAATCCAACAGTGTTGTCATATATTAGGGGGATGTTTAGCTCAAAATAATCTTTTGTCTAGCAAGCTAGCTACTAAATATGAAGAGTAAAATTTTCTATGAGAGCAAGAACCATTGAATTTTGAAGGCTGATTCTTCCATGTATTTCGAACACCACACAAACATGTATATATATACACTAGTGCCATACCTGATAACGTTTGTATTAAATAATATTAATGTACGTTGAGCCATTAACTTCACTCAATTACTCCCCCTGCACGTTGAGCAAATTAGGACTCAAATGCACTCATGGTTTAAAAGTTTATTATTAAACAATGAATTTGAATAACAAGTTTAACGTTTCAAAAGTGAATGAACATTTAAAGTGCTTACCGTTATTATTTGGAAGAACTCAATGAACATTAATTTTTTTTTTAATATTATACAAAGATATCTAATTTATAATATTTATTTATAAAGTAATATTATTAGATAATAAGAAATAATTTATTCATTTGAAATACTCTCGAATTTTTCAACAATCCCCCACATATTTCAAATGAATATTTTAGATTTTTGAAATTAGTTTAGAAAATTTCTGCTGGATTAAAGGAATGAGACTTTAAGTTTGGTGTCCGTAGACTATGAACCAAACCGAGATGATTAAGTCTTAATAAACCGAGCTTTTGGTGAAACCTATAGTTTCTTGAAACCAACAAGCTACTATTGGTAAATCAGGGTCTTAATGGTCGTGTCTCACCCTGCACAATTTCTCGTTATTACGCCGTTGTGCGCCGTAAGGCCATGCGCGTGCTTGGTTTTCATGAGTGCTCTAGAAGTTTTGTCATGCTTCATGGAGGCGGCCCCACCTCACACTCATATAGGTGATATCATCAAGTGTGTACCGCTTGTGCACACCACCCTAAAATTAAGGGCTACGATAATCATTAAGAGTTTTTAGCTCACCCTCTCAAAGAACGCGGTTTCTAGCCTTCTCACATCATGGAAATGGGCAAGTTTAGTTAGGCTAGCAGAACTAAATGGAAAACTTGTTATTACCCATATGAACTTGCTTCATGGGATCTCCAATCACACAAGTTGGGTTCCCATCCCCATTCGTTTCAAAGTGACACTAGTCCCATTTCCTTCGATGTTTCGGTTATCATTTTTCGTCCTAGGGATTCTGTCAAAGGAGTAGCTAATTCCTTCTGAATTTACAAAATTAATGGAAATAATTCCATTCTCAAACATCATTGCACCACTTTTAAGGTGAATGGATATCCACTATTTTAATTTATATCATGTGAGTATACTCAGATGTCATCGTTGTATCCCGGCAATACAACGGATAACTCTCAATAAAATATAACATCGATCTAACCTGCAAAAAAAGCGTTAGAAAATAATATAGCTCGAGTCGCGTATACGCTGTCTTCAAGAAAGTATTTCCGACTAGTGAAAACCTTTCCCCAAGATAAAACGAGCTTTTCGGCGTAAGCCGGTAACAGAACAACGAGAGTATAAAATATTAATCCAACAGTGTTGTCATATATTAGGGGGATGTTTAGCTCAAAATAATCTTTTGTCTAGCAAGCTAGCTACTAAATATGAAGAGTAAAATTTTCTATGAGAGCAAGAACCATTGAATTTTGAAGGCTGATTCTTCTATGTATTTCGAACACCACACAAACATGTATATATATACACTAGTGTCATACCTGATAACGTTTGTATTAAATAATATTAATGTACGTTGAGCCATTAACTTCACTCAATTACTCCCCTGCACGTTGAGCAAATTAGGACTCAAATGCACTCATGGTTTAAAAGTTTATTATTAAACAATGAATTTGAATAACAAGTTTAACATTTCAAAAGTGAATGAACATTTAAAGTGCTTACCGTTATTATTTGGAAGAACTCAATGAACATTAATTTTTTTTTAATATTATACAAAGATATCTAATTTATAATATTTATTTATAAAGTAATATTATTAGATAATAAGAAATAATTTATTCATTTGAAATACTCTCGATTTTTCCAACACGGTTTAAGAAGGGGGAAAGTAATTAAAAGCGCTGTTATCTTCAAAAATTCATTTGACTTCCTTCTCGATGGAATTTTTAGCTGAAATTTGGTATGAGTAAACTAGACTTGATAAGAAGATGTTCAAAAGACTTCATCAAAACATTCCACCAAGAAACGACCCAAATATCGACGGACGGACAAAGCCTCCTATATAAAGGGTGATTTGCACTTTATACGTTAGTTCGAGGGCCTATTTGACCCTTTGGCCTAATAAAAAATGTTACTGCTGATAATAATGATGATGATGGTGATATTCTTTAACCATGACTAATAGGTGTTGAAGTGAGAATAGACTGCACCTTCAAAGCAACTTCACCAAAAACAGCAGAGCAGATAGTATTCTCAGTGAACAGAACGACAAACAGGTTAGGGATATACAGGTTGGAGATACCTACGGTGGATGGGATCGAGTGTGCAAGAGAGAAAGAGATGGGGAACTTTTGTCGGGCTAGCCTAATAGTGCAAAAAGGCCCATCATCATCATCATCATCACCGCCAGCCGCCTGCAACCTTCCTGCATCAACAACCACAACAGAGGAAGTGGCCATCAAATCCATAACTGCCAATACCTGTATCTACAGCCTCAGCGCTTTGACATTTAGACCCTCCACTAGAAATGTTGCTCTCTGTGGGACTTCTGCTAATTAAGCAGCGGTGGTCGTTGGAGTCGCAGACGTGTGTGTCCTACCTTCAATGTAATAATGCCATACTTAGTGTGTCAACATGGTTTCATTTTTCTCTAAATGTACTCGCACATTAATAGACTGTAGAATTCAAATTCAGAATTAGTCTGGAAAATTTAAATTCGGAATTGCACCCCAAGCATGCAGAGACTTATCTAATCTAGAATGACCAAAACATCTGGTTTAACAAACATGAAGGATGAATAAGATTATCACGAGTGTTGTTACCCTCACACACAAATGCACAATGATGACTATGGTCCCGGGAGGGAAGAGCATATAGCTCTAGTGGGAGTAGGGAAAGGTGGGAGCATAGTGGCATACTTGCCTCACATCCTTTGAGCATCTAGATGTTTTTACTGGTTTTCCAAGGTTCCATTTGGAATTTAAATAACATTATGGAAAGAAAATATGGGGAGAGCAAATTTGGAAGGAAAGGAAATGGTTAGGAAAATAAAAAAGAAATGTTTCAAACTCCACAAATCAATTAAACATATTTGTGCAAGCTAATTCTATCTTAATAGTTTTATTATTTTACAAAGTTCTATTTGAGTTAGATTTTCCTTTCTATGTTTCCCTTTGCCCATCTCCCTCCCAACCATTTTCTGAGTTCCTAACATAGCCTAAGAGCTACTTTGGATGGAGGGCTTTAGAGAAATTAATTAAGGTTTCTGAAAATGATAGAAGGGTGATTGAGATGTTATATGATCACATATTTTATCTTCAGCTTTGCTAGATCTAGGATATGTATGTGTGTCAGCGTGTGTATTTGTATGCGTGTATTTATCCATATATAAAGTTAGCCTTTTAAAAACCTTCATCAAATTGACTATGACCATAATGTTTGAGGCTTTAAACTTTTATAACAAAACGTTTATATTAAAACAAGACTGAGTTTGGGTGGACTGGGAACCAAAGCTCAAAGGATGTGAGAAAGTATGTCACTATGCCCCCACCTTTCCCTTTTTTTGGATGAAATGTAAATTTATATTAACACCCAAAGAAAACTATACATCAAAAGTACTAGATCTCCTAAACCCCCACCCCCTAGTGTAGGGGTTAGGAGAGGTTTTTGTTCGATCTAATCAAAATAAAAAAAGGGGGGCATACGTATACAATACTAAATGCCCCAAAAGCTCAAAAAACCAGTCAGTGCTACAAGGTGCACGCACACAGATCAAAAACACACATCAATCGGACAAAAATGCATGGCCAAGAGGAGGTTATAATGCACACTCCCCTTAGCCCAAAAAGAAGTCAGGTGTTGCAAGGTGCACACTCCCAAGTCCAAGAAAGATGATGCCGCGGCTTCGAAAAAGGTGACATCATCCACCCATCAAAATTTTATCATGTCATGTGGGTATATGCTATATAGGATCTTATACACCACATGATTGATCTTAGCAATCTCATCTTCTTCCGTCTTCGTTCCTCCATCAAACCGTATCTCATTTCTCGCATGCCAAATGTAGTAGACCGCGGCACAGAATGCTAGACGGGCAGCCTTGGCCTTCATCGTTGATCCCTTGTGTGTGTTCATGATCCACTTGATTGCGCTGAGCATCGTTGTCATTTGGAAACCAATTCCAATCCAAGCTTTGATCTCATCCCATACCCTACAAGAAAATGGGCAAAGGAAGAAAAGGTATGGAATTGTTTCCAATCCACCCTTGCATAAGTCACACCTGTTAACTATGTGGAGATAACTGAGGCTATCTTGTGAGGGAAGCCGGTTCCTCAAGCCCAACCAAACATTAAACGAGAATTTTGGGGGATGTAGGACTTCCAAATGAAGCTCATTGGAGTCCTAGTAATCCCCTTTACTCGTAGAAGCTCATAGATTTTGGCCGATACTAGTTTCCCATTGATACTCTTAGCATTAAGGTCCATGATGGTTTCATTTAGATTATTAAAGCAACCTCATATTTTGTCTCGTATTTGGCTCAACCTCTTCATAAGTTGTGAGTCACGGCCGTGTGGAACAAATTCCCACACACTTTTACCCTTAAGGTATACACCATTAACCCAACGAACCCAAAGGGTATATTTCTTTTTGTGTACGTCCCAAAGAGTGCGAGAAAGGAGGCTATCGTTCCAAGTACGGGCATTGTGAATGCCTAGACCCCCTTCCTCTTTTGGAAGACATATGTCATCCCAAGCCACCTTCGCAAACTTTCCACCCCACAAAAACAGTCTACAGATGGACACTATCCTATCCAATATAGTTTGCGGAACCGGGAAGATTTGGAGCCAAAACGATTGGACCCATTGAATCACCGAACGAATTAGCTCAATTTTTCCGGAATAGGATAGTGTTTTCGTGTTCCACGCATTTAGGAAATCCTTGACCATGTCGAGTAGGGATGCGTATTGTGCAACTGATATCTTTAGCGGGGCAAGTGGTATTCCAAGGTATCTTACCGGGAATATTCCTTGCCCATAGTCGACAATGTTTAAAATGTTTTGTAAGTCTAGGTCCTTCACCCCTCCCACGAAAATGTTCGATTTTTCATGGTTGACCCTTAGGCCGGATGCCTCTCCAAACTCTTTGAGAGCGTTGACCAATATTTCTATGGAATACGTGTCACCTCTCGAGAATAGCATAAGGTCATCAACATATGTCAGATGGGTGATGCCCAACGTAGAGCATTGCGGGTGGAAATTAAAATTTCTCCCTTTGGTTCTCACAGTTAGTAACCGGGAGAAATACTCAAGGCACAAAAGAAAGAGCAAAGGGGACATTGGATCCCCTTGCCTAATTCCACGTTTGCCTTTGAAAAATCCGTGAAGCGATCCGTTTAAGGAAACCGAGAAGGAGGCAGTGGACACACACTCCATAATCCATGCAATAAATCTATCAGGGAAGCCCAAACCCCTCAAGACTTTGTCCAAGAAATCCCATGAAATCGTGTCGTAGGCCTTTCGCAAATCTACCTTGATCATACATCTTGGTGAGATTTGATTCCTATTGTATCCTCTAACAAGTTCCTGGGCAAGGAAAATGTTATCAAACATTAGACGGCCATCCACAAAAGCTCCTTGGGCTTGATTAACCAGTCCCGAAAGACACGGGGTTAATCAAGCCGCAATTATTTTTGTTATACTTTTATACAGTACATTCGTGCATGAGATAGGTCTATAGTCCGACACTTTTGGGGAGTGATTAGTCTTAGGGATAAGTGTTATAACAGTATGATTGATCTGTTTAAGCAACTTACCTGTTAGAAAAAACTCCTTAATCGCTTGGACTATGTCATCCCCAATAAAACTCCAGTTGGCCTTAAAGAAGGCCGAGGTAAACCCATCCGGCCCCGGTGCCTTGTCATCCCCAATATCAAACAAGGCATCATTAATTTCCTTGTTTGTAACCGGAGCAAGTAGGCTATCATGAACACTTGGTTCAATCAAAGGACCGGTTCCTAAAACCAACGGGTCAAGGGGTAGGTTTACCTCGCTAGTACCAAATAAATCCACAAATTTTTTTACAAATTCATCTCCAACTTGATCTAAAGAAGTAGTAAGACTACCGTCCTCCAATGCTATGGAAGATATGGCATTCCGTGTGACATTCCTCTTCACAATAGCATGGAAATATCTTGTACCTTTGTCCGCCTCGAGAATGTGAGTGGCCTTTGCTTTTTGTTGGTAGAAGCTTGTTTCGGCTTCTCCAAAAAAAGTAGTCTTTTTCCTAGCAGCCTCCAATTGCAATTTTAAATCATCATCTAGGGGCGAAACCAGCCACAATTTATTTAATCTTTTGAATTCCTCCTTTGCTCTATTAGCTTTCATCGATATATGCCCATATTCCATTGCATTGAGGTTCTTTAGCGGCCTTTTGAGCAACTTTAGCTTCCTCACAATTGAGAACTGGGTTGTACCATCAATGAATTGGCTCCAACTCTGTGCAACTATGTTAGAGAAATCACAGTGCTTGATCCACATATTAAAAAATTTAAAGGGTTTCGGCCTTAGAGAGGAATTATTGAGTATTGATACTACGGAAGCCGTATGATCAAACTCAACCTCCATTTCATGGAAATGGGCCTTACAACTAATTCCAAGTTGCCCCCACACATCATTATGCAGCACACGGTCAAGCTTAGCCCAAAGATTTCCTCTGTTCCACGTGAAAAATTCCCCGGTAGATGGGGCATCTTCAAGGCTAGCTCAAACTTTAAAATCAAATAAATGTTGCAATACATAAGCCGTGGGCGGGCTCGGCCCAATCCTTTCAATTGGAGCACATATGCAATTAAAGTCCCCCACAATTAGCCAAGGTTCGGTAACACCGTCCCCAAACAAAGCAAGATATTTCCATAAAGCCCCCACCTTTCCCTACTCCCACTGGAGCTATATGCTCCTCCCCTCACGAGTGTAGCAACACCCGTGATAATATTGTTCATCCTTTATGTTAGTTAAACAAAATGTTTTGGTCATTTTGGATTAGACAAGTGTTAGAGCAAGAATTTGACGGATATGTTGCATTTAAAGAGAGTTGACAACATGAGTTAATTGGGGATTCACAAGGCTTAATGATAATTACTGTAACATTTATGTGTATTATTAGGCCCTTTAATGTAATAAAGGAAGATATTAATTGTCGTTGACCAACCTTTATGACAGATTTGGAACCGTCATAATGAACGAAGTCGTCGGGCCAACTCGTTTGTAACAGACAAAACGGTCATGGGAGTAGTAATTACATCTCCTATATATAAGAGTGAGTCCAATTGTACTCTGGGAGCTTCTCATTCGAATAATATAATAAATTACATCATATTTTGCTCACTTGTCATCTTTCTTATTGTTCTTATACGAGACCCGATCTACATATAATTTCCCTTTTTAATTAGTTTTAGCTTATCAAAATAATGTTTAAACAATTTGGCGCCCACCGTGGGGCCTCGTGTAAGGGAAAATTCGAACATGGCAGTAACTAGCAGTACTTTGATGATGAAGTTTCATGAACAGCTCGAAGCAGTGAAAGAGGAAATCCGACACGAGATGGCTCAACGAATCGCATTTATTTAGCGAGAAAATGACATGTTGTGGTCCTAGGTCCAATCAATAGCGACTAGCGTCCATAGCTTCCAATTCAAGACTCACCCGAAGAGGCGACACTATGATTGCACCAACTAGGTCGGAATCAGGTTTCGTCCCGGCTATGTCGGAACCACTTGCCAACACCATGGAGGTCAGTCTCCCTGACCTTAGGCCTCTCACCGATCAACGAACCACAATATACAGTAATCTCACATGTTATCTCGTACATACCTCTCATTCCGGGAATCAACCCCCATTCCCAACATTCCGGCCTGCTTCTTCTCGGAATCGTTGTGAGTCAGCCCTGGACCGACATGTTTACAATTCGTCACTCAGAGTTTATCGATGTCGACCAACACCTCACTCCCCCCTGGGCCCTTTATCCCTCAAACCAACACCAGAGCTTTTGGCGACTCGGGTTCGTCCAATCCACCCATTTCAGTACAAAACCCCTGAAGGAACGTATCCCACAATTTGTTTTGAGAACCTCAGGCTCGAGAAGTTCCTGAACACGTCACTGTCCAAAACCAAAGGCGACGAGATCTGGAGGTAATAATCATTTCATCACCAACCCGAACAGAACCTACCCAGATGATTCCTACGGTCTCGATAGAAGGCCCATATCAAGCAAACTTGGTAGATCCGACGGCCAAGATATTTGCCCAATTGCGGCATATGCAGGACAAGATCAACGATATCACTTGAGTGCCACCGCCTTTGGATCTAGCTTTGTAGGCATGTTATGCTGACTCTCCTTTCAGTCAACAAATCACATATGTCGACATCCCTATGAAGTTTGTTATTCCGTCCATGAAGATGTTTGACGAAACCTCTGACCCATTGGGACATATCGCCCAATACAAACAACGGATGTTGATAGTTTAAGTGAGGCCTGAGCAACGGGAGGCGTGCATGTGCAGAGCTTTTGGAGCGACGTTGACAGGATCAGCCCTGACATGGTTCGATAACTTACCTAATGAAGGTATCAGTTCGTTTGCAGAGCTCGCCAATTTGTTCAACCAGCAGTTCGTGAGCAGTAGAGTCCTTGAAAAACAAACCATCGACATATATCAGATTGTCCACCAACGGGATGAACCACTAAGACACTACTTCCATCGCTTCAACAAGGAGAAGGTGTCGATTCCAGAATGTGACATCCCAACAACGGTAGAGGCTTTTCGAAGGGAATTGCTTGAAGACTCAGAACTGAACCGAGAATTGACCAAGTACTCGTGCCGCACATTTGAAGACGGTCAAACCAAGATGCTAGCCTTTATCCCATTGGATGAGGATCAACAATCTCGTCATCGCCATGATGATTATGACGGGGGACAGCGAAAGGCCGACTCATCCAGGAAACAAGATTACAGGACTAAAAACCTTACGCTAAGGCCGAAGAACGTCAAGTCGTTGCAGTGACAACTTGGTTGGAAGACCCGGACCTACCACCGGCCAACACTTCAGGGCTAATCAACTCGCCGGAGAAGTTGGGAGAGAAGGTTCGATGGCCCAGGAAGTAGTATAAGCCAACTGGACGACAAGATCTAAGCAAACGATGTGACTTCCATGGCAACATCGGCCACAACACGGAGGATTGTGTCACACTGTGGAAGGAGGTTTCCTATCTCCTATGAAACGAGTATTTGACCGAAATATTGTGAGAACAAACGAAATCCTTTTGGCGACGAGGTCAGAAGTCGACACCAACTGAACAACGACCTCTGTCACCTTCAGCTCGTTGTAAGGTAATTAATATCATTAATGGTGGTTCTGATTTATGTGGACTAACATACTTTGCGGCAAAAAGACACCCTCGAGAATATTCCCGAGACAAGTCGTTGCAGGTTTACAAGATTGCAAAGAGACAGGACGATAGGAGAAGTGTCCCCATAACTTTTGATGAGACGAACATGCCTGATTCGTCAAAATCACATCATGATGCTTTAGTCATATCTATGCGAGTATCGAATTTCATTGTCAAATGAGTCCTCGTCGACAATGGGAGCACAATCAGCATCACCACAATAAGGATGCTCAACAAGATGGGGATCAAGGAAGACGATATATCAAAGGAGAGATCAACCCTTGTCAGATTAGATGGTGAACCGATACGGACGATAGGTAACATAACTTTACATGTCTATGCAGAAGGTCTTAATATGCAGGTAAAGTTCGATGTAGTCCAAGACTTGCATGCGTACAACATGATCTTGGGCACTATGTGGTTGCATCAGATGAGGGCTATTCTGTCAACATACCATCAAGTCGTCAAGTTTCTGACGCCTTGGGGGAGCGCAAACTATCCTAGGGGATAGAACAACGGCTAAGACCTGCTACCAATACGCCTTGAAACCTATAACGAGCCAAGCGACATCAGCATAGCAATCAAAGGGTGATCCAGCTCTGGAAGAGCACGATGATGACAAGACAGAGGAGATTGTCATCGACCCAGAACATCCAGAACGGGTCATCCACATAGGGAAGAACTTGACAACGTATCTGAGGGATGAACTTGTTGATTTTCTCAAGGAACATAAAGATTGTTTCTTATGCAGCCATGAAGACATGATTGGAATCGACCCAAAAATTATAACTCACAAATTGAACGTCAATCCATCATGCAAACCTGTTTGAATGAACAGAAGACGATTCGCTCGAGAACGGAACGACATCGTCAACCAAATGAGATTATGACATTAATTCTGATGGAGTATATGGCCCAGGGACCCCCTAGGAATGAAGCGGATGAGCTAATGGAACCCAGGCACGCCGTGTCTGAAAATAAACGAGGAACAAGGTACTGGAGGCCAGGCACGGTCGTGCCTGGCAGTTAGGCACGCCGTGCCTGGACGCGTTTAAACGGGATGCTTCCGCAGGCACGGTCGTGCCTGGTGCCGTGCCTGACCCCGTTTTGTCCTAATTCTACCCAAATTTCACCCTTTCCTTTAAATAAAACTCCCATAACCCTAATGATGGGGGTGGACTTTAGAGAGCTGATTAAGGACGAAAATTAGAGAGCTTTTCAGCCACGTTTTTCAATTCCTTAACATTCTTTGTAAGTTCCCACTTTTTTATTAATGACAATTAATTCTATTCTTCCCAATTTCATTGATTCTTCAATTATGAATTGCGAGTAGTTTTAATTAGGGATTTGGGGTTGATGAAAGGGTTTATCACGATGTATGGCTAGTTTCTTGATGGTTTGATTACATGAATGTCATTTAATTTGTGTTTGAATAATTTAACTGTTATCTTTTGTAATCTGGAACCGCGGCTAGAATTAGAATTGCACATAGAATAAATTAAGAGAGATCTAGTTTATTCTAGGACACATTCACACACACTTAATCGTTCGCTAAGAGATTAGTAGCGATTAAGGGGCCGTAAGCTCATTCATCTTGACAATAATTTAGGATCCTGTCGCATGAGAGATCAGCCTGGTCCCCTAAATTATTGTACTCTATGCCGCGAGAGCGCTAAGAACTTAGTATTGATTAGCTAGGCTCAATTAAATTAAATTCATGTAATTAAGCCTTATCTGCCAAAAATCTGATTACCCCGGAATCAATCCCTGTTCCCTTCTTCGTTAATTAAGAAGAACCCAAATCTTTACTTTTATTCGCTCATTCGCATTAGTTTAATTTCAATTCAACCAATCAATCTCGCACGACGCATTTATTTAATTTTATTTCTTTTTAATCGCTGAATTTAGTTAATGTTTAATTCCCTTTTGTCCGTCCCTGTGGAGACGATACTCGTACTTTCACCACTATTCTACAATCTTTTTAAGTGCGAGAAAACTCACATCAGTTTTTGCCGCCGTTGCCGGGGACGGTGTCGGTCTTAAGGGTTAATTTAACTCAGCGATTCGTTTTTAGTTTGTCGTAGGATTTTTGTCTGCTAACCTTGCAGGTCAGATCTGTTTATGCATACACGCTCCAAGAGGGCAGAACCGTTAATCCCTCTTAATCTTGAGATTGAAAAGCTCGCCAGACAGAACCGCAAGGCTCACAAAGAGAAATTTACCATGGACCATCAATCTTCATCTGGAAATATAGGGTCATCTAGTAACCCTAACCCTACTACTCAGCCAGATTTCTATCATAACACATCACCCCAATCTTCACCACCAATTTCACCTAGAAACCCTCCAGGTTTTCAAAATCACCGCACTCCGATCTTTTCCCAAAATCAACCTTCACCACAATTTAATCTCCCTCCATTATATCATCTTTTTCAAAATACCCCAACTGCTCCTGAAACCAATTTTCAAAACCAAGTTTATGGGATGCAAGGAGCAGGGCAGAGTGTTCCCGTTTTCCAATCGAGACAGAACCCACTTCCAATCAATCAACCTACATTCCAAAATCAGCCCCAGTACCAAAATCCGTACCCAATCAGTTTCAAAACCAAACCCAAGTCCCACCTACTCAGCCACAACCAGCCCCCCAGCCTAGGCATCAGGCGCCTCCACCAAATCCATATGTACCGCACAATAATCCACTCTATCAGCGCCAGACCATTGCAGAGTTCCGCACGCCAAACGTTTCAGAGTATGATAGCATTCAAGTGTCGGGAATTATTGCCAACCGTTATGAGATCAAGCCGACGGTGATCAGCATGGTATCCAATAATCAATTTGGAGGAGGACCTACAGAAGACCCAATGGCACATATT